TTAAGTTCAATGCTGGTTTTCTGAGGGAAGCCCCTATGACTCCCTGGAGCTACATACCCAAAGAGAAGGAAAATAGAGGGCTGAACCGGGAGATGGTCACCACAAACTCCGCAACGTGAAGTCGATACAACAGGCTGCAACCTGCGACCCAAAGCAACACAAGAACGCCCAGGAGCAGACACGTTCACAAAATAACGGGCGGCCAGCACCTTGTGTGATCTCCAAATCCCCGCGCCCGAATATGAGCTCAAGACATACAGTATTACCAAACACGGCAGCCAAAGCTGCAGTTGGCTGAATGGCACGGGCACAAGGATAAACTGCAGGCTGGCTAGACTGAATAATCCTGCGGATGACCTGGGGGACCCGAGCCCTGGAACAGGGAACCAAGGAGCTGATGGGGCTCCTCTCAAAAAATTATGATAAAGAGAGAGATAAAAGGGTGGTTCTATATTACCTGTGAACCACATAAAGAACATTGTACAAGGAGCATAAACTATTCTTTTCAACTTTAACATCTCTTAAATACATGAATGGCAAAATATTAAGGAAATTGTTCACGACTTTTGTGAGATCAAAGTTGGAATATGCAGCGGTTGTATGGAGACCATCAAGAAGCACATCACTAAATTAGAAAAGGTGCAAAGACATGCAACTAAATAGCTTCTGGAACTGAAAAACAAGAGCTATGAGGAGGGGTTAGAGGTGTTAAATATACCAAAGATAGAAGATAGAAGAAAATGAGGTGATATGGTCAGTATGTACAAAATAGCAACAGGAATTGACAAAATTGACAAAGAAGAATTTTTGAAAACTGCATCTTCAAGAATATGAGGACTTGGGGTCAAATTAAGGAAACAAAGCTGTAAAAAAACAGCGTAGAATGTAATGAAACGTAATTTTCTGGGTGAGTCCCGGAGGCTCCCCGGAGCTATCCATGGTTGATATGGATGCCCTAACTATTTTGCATCAGTCGATGTGGGTGGAGTTCTAGGCCTACCGGGGACCACGAGCCAGAACCTGGACCCCCTCACAGAGGCATGAGGAGCAATGGCCCATAGAAATGCACATGTGATTTGGAGCATTCTATATCTGTCATCAACTGGGACAGGCACCCAGAAAGGTAAGCGCCACAAAACAAACCCCTATTCTGGTTAACAACGAAAATTGTCAAATGAGTGGACAGAATTCCCCAAAAGAAAAATGAGCAAACAAGCATGACGTCATACGAGCCGCGCCGCATGTCTGCGCAGCTCCCCCCTCCCATGGAAGGAGAAGGGGGGAGCCCCAGACCCCCATGCCAGCAATCACCACCCCAGTTCTGAGGCTGGATATCAAAAATGCAAAAAAAACGCCTTTTCCCGAAAAAAAGAAATAGAGGGTTGCCAGGGAGACTCTGGGACTCACCCAGAAAATGGCGTTTATTACATTCCACGCTGGTTTTCTGGAGGGGGCCCCTACGGCTCCCCGGAGCTACTTCACCAAAGACAACAGAATAAAAGGGGACTTACCCAGGAGGTGGTCGGTGCTCCACTCCTCAACTCGAAGTCGAGACATCGGGCTGCAACCGCCGACCCAAAGAAACACAGGCCCGACTGGGTCCAGGAACGTTCAAGAGGTAACGTGCAGCCAGGACTTGTTCGACCGCCAAAAACCCCCATGCCTGAATGTCAGCCCAAGACATATTGCTAAAGACGGCAGCAAGAGCAGCAAACTTACGAACGTCATGGGCACAGGGATAGACCGCAGGCTGGCTGGATTTAATTACCCTGCAGACGACCTGAGAGACCCAGACCCGCGAACAGTGAAGAAGGGAAACCGGATCAACCCAAATCGCATCCCCCGGACACAGAAGACACGGAAGCGCAGATAGTGGCAGAGGGCCGCAACCAGACACAACACATGACGAACCCCAGCCTGACAAACCAAGCATCTGCTAAAAGCTGAACCCATGGAATGTGTCCACTCACGAGGGCGAAGCAGGGGGTGCCACCACACAAAACGACCCTAAGATAAGGAGGGTGGGAGAACACAAGATAGACCTTCCCCCCACCAGGCAAAAAAAAAAAGAAAAGAAAAACCATGCAAGTGGACAACTTACCCAGAGGGTACAGAGCCGACCGCTGTTATAGGTGAAAACTAGCTATGCAGCACCCCATGCCCCACCAGTGCAATAGCTACCACTGACCCCAAGGCAAACAAGGGAGGAAAACCCCCATACACTCGGGGTGGCCAAACGCCAAGCAGCGAAAGGCTAATAGAGGTAGACCCAAAGCGACTTGTGGAAGGGAACCCCAAGCCCCAAGGGCGGTGCTTACAGGGCACTCAGGGAAGGAGACCCTAAGCACATGCAGCCCGAGTACCTGAGAATACTACTCCCAGCTCACATGACCACTGTAAGAGTAGCACTGAAAACAATGAACAGCACTGAAAGAAGATTGGAGCTGGAGTCACACGACCATGCATGATCCCATCAGCTGAGGAACTGGGTTGTGATCACCGGCACGGGGGTCTGGGGCTCCCCCTTCCCCCTCCTGGGGAGGGGGGAGCTGTGCAGACATGAGGTGCGGCTCGTGTGACGTCATGCTTGTTTGCTCGTTTTTCTTTTAGGGATTTCTGTCCACTTGTTTGACGATTTTCGTTGTGATCCAGAATAGGGGTTTGTTTTGTGGCGCTTACCTTTTTGGGTGTCTGTCCCGGTCGATGGCAGATACAGAATGCTCCAAATCACATGTGCATTTTTATGGGCCATTGTTCCTTGTGCCTCTGTGAGGGGGCCCAGGTTCTGGCTCGTGGTCCCCGGTAGGCCTAGAACTCCAGCCACATTGACTGATGCAAAATAATTAGGGTATCCATATCAGCCATGGATATCTCCGGGGAGCTGTAGGGGCTCCCCCCAGAAAAAAAAAAAAAATAAATAGAAAGTTCACTTTTGCAGTGGTAGAGAGTTGAAACAAGTGAGAAGGTGATGGAAGCCAAAACCTCCAGTAGCTTCAAAGTGTTACACGACAAAGAGTACAGGGAAGACGGGACACCACAAGTGTAGCTCTCATGCTGTAACTACACTTATATATAGTTACATTTAGTTAATTACTTTGGCAATTATGGAATGAGAGCAGGATTTTTTTATGGGTTAAGGTAAACTATATTACATCTAGAGTTGTTATATCCATATTTGCATCGCTGATGTAAAATCCAGACAATAATAGTATTAAACATCAATATATGATTATACCTCAAGAATTAATCTCAACAAGTCACAATGTAGGATTTTTTTTTTTAACTCATTGAGTTAGAAACTCATGGAACTGCCTATCCACTGAGACTGTAAATGCCAAAACATTGTTGCAGTTCAAAATTCAGCTGGATAAAATCATCAGGGGAAAAACTTGGGAGACCATTGACAAACTGCTGGCTTCCTATCCTTGTTGAGGCCACTAGAGATATGGTGGCACTTAGATCAATTTTGGTAAGCCTTCAAATTAACCATGCTGAGATCTTGTATAAAATACAGTGACACCTCGGCTTACGAATGCCTCTCTTTACGAACTTTTCGGGTTATGAGTCCAATTTCTTCATAAAATCCGAATCAGGTTACGAACTTTGCCTCAGGAAAGGAAGTTTGTTGATATCCGTATGGCTGACTTGGTGCATGGTGGTATGGCGACCTACCTCAGTTTACTAATGCCACCCGCCTAGTGACAATCGTCCCTGAATTCTTTGTAAAGAATTTAAGTGTTTTTCGGATTTTTGGGAATTTGAAAATGAAAGTTATTATTAAATATCTCGCCATGGGTCCCAAGAAAGCCAGTGGTAAGGTTCAAGCCAGGAAAACACATGTGAGGATGACCACAGAGGAAAAACAAGAGTTCATTCATAAACATGAAAATGGTACAAGGGTTGTTGAACTAGCTAGGCAGTACAACAAATCTATGTCAACGATATGCACTGTAATTGCTAAGAAAAAGGACATTATGAGTGCTAAAGTGGCAAAAGGTGTATCAACAATCACGAAACAAAGAACACAAACACTTGAGGATGTTGAAAAGTTGTTATTAATTCACCCTGAGCAAGCTGTAGTAGGCTGATGTGTTAACCTTTTTAATGACAATGTGATGTCTCACTTCAGACAAGTGTTACAACGTATTGAAAAACAAATGTCAATAGACAGGTTTTTAGTGAGAAACAGAAGCAGTGAGACACAAGCAGGTCCTAGTGGCATGCAGGCAAAACGTGCCAGAGAGTATTCTCCAGAGAAGTCATCACTGCCTGATGTTATAATGGAAGGGGACTTCCCTTCCAAACACTAACACTTCTCCTACTCCTCCTCCCCTCCTTAGGCACCAAGGGAAGGTGACCCTAGGCGCATGCAGCCCGAGTATTTGGGAGATTACCTCCTCCTCACAGTCTTCCATATGCCAACAAGTCATCAATAAAAGTAAGCATTAACTTGTACATACTTTAGTACTAAAGATTTGGATGAATTAGGTATAAAATTGACTTTATTGTTAATTTTTTGGGGAGTGTGGAACAGATTAACTCAATTTACATGATTTCTTATAGGAAAATTCGCTTCAGTTTACAAATTTTTGGTTTACGAACCATCTCTTGGAACGGATTAAATTCGTAAGCTGAGGTACCACTGTAATCCAATATCATTATTCTGAAGCTGTAAGTACTTATCTAAAGATGTTCTATAAATAAATTAATGTATTGTGCTGATTAACGATGGACAACTATGAAATTAAGATAGCTATTAAATTTAAAAGAGCATATACAACACTGAATGCTATTGAGACATACTTAGACACACTTATGCTAGCATTTAGTCTTTAGTATTCATAATCATGTGATTATAATTAACAACATTTATGATTCAGCAGCAAATCAGTATATTCTGACATTTTTAATGACAGGTACATTAATAGCTACAATTAATAAAATAAAAACATTTAAGATGCATTTCACATTTTACAAATCTAAAAACATGTTTCACATACTCTGATTGAGAACACCAATAGTGTCATCAAAAGTCATGGCCTTGATGTTGAGTGAGGCAAGGATTGCTTCCTTGTCTGCCAGTGTTGGGTCATCATTGCTGGGAACCTTGGCACTTAAGATGACACACATATCACACAGGTTGACATTCACTGCTCTCAAGTCTGCTCGGCTAAGTGGTGAGCCCTAGTGGTAAACAAAATTATGTTGTACTGAAAGTCCATTTGGCTAAAAATGATAAACAATAATATACAAAAAAAAAAGCATTGAATGTAATGAAACAGCATTTTCTGGGTGAGACCTGGAGGCTTCCCAGAGCTATCCAGGCTGATATGGATATTATTAGACTTTGGCTCCAGTCAGTGTGAATGGAGTTTGTAGGCCTACTGGGGACCACGAGCCAGAACCTGGCCCCCTCAGAGAGGCACGAGGAGCAATGGCCTATAGAACTACACATGTGATTTGGAGCCACTAACAAGCAACAAAACTCGCAGGACTCTGGGTTGAAGATGTCACCAACCCAACAGGCAGCATGACAGAGGCAAAAACAATGAGAGTCACCCTGAGACAAGGGAACAGAGCAACCCGCAAACTCGCACAAAGCCAGAGGGGACCCAGGGGTCCCATCCATCAGACCCCTTGCGTCCCAGCGGGGTTTCCCAGAAACCTTAGACTGGTATTGCTAAGGGTAAGCCCAGGCCGCGTAATGGGAACCGGAGCCCAAGTCTACCAATCAAACTGCTAAAAGCTGATCCCCTGGGACATGTCCACTCACTAGGGTCAAGCAGGGGGGGTACCACACAGAACACAGATATAAAGAAACCTAAAGGACAGACAGGGGGCAACAAACCAAAGGCAGACCCACCTCCCCTCCAGGCAGGAAAACAAAAACAAAAGAAAACCCCCGCAAGAGGACAACGTACCCAGGCGGAACAGAGCCGGCCGCCACAATAGGTGATAACAAGCTGTGCAGTACCCTGCGCCCCTACCAGTTCAAACTACTCCTTACCCTAAGGTAAACAAAGGAGGAAGAAACCCCCCAGCACGCTTAGGGTGGTCAATTACTTAGCAGCAAAGGACCAACAGAGGTAGACCCCAAGGTGACTTGTGGAAGATAACCCCAACCCCAAAGGGAAGTACTTACAGGGCACCTAGGGAAGGTGACCCTAGGTGCATGCAGCCCGAGTATTTGGGAGATTACTGCTGGCTCGCTCACTACCAAAGAAGACTTACCACACACCACAAGGCACAGAGCAGAGGACAGAAGTCAGGAACCAGAGCCACAATGACCAATGCCATTCACATCAGCCAAAGAACAGAAGGTGTGGGGGTAACCGGTGTGGGGGGTCCGGGGCTCCCCTTCCCCCTCCCATGGAGGGGGAAGATGCCCAAACAATGGCGCGGCAAATGGTGACGTCATGCTCGTTTGCTTGTTTTTCCTTGGGGAGTTCTGTCCACTCATTTGACTTTCAGTATCAGTTTCAACTAGAATAGGGGTTTGTTTTGAGATGGGACCTTTCTGGGTGCCTGACCCAGTCGATGGCAGACATAGAATGCTCCAAATCACATGTGCAATTCTATAGGCCATTGCTCCACTTGCCTCTCTGAGGGGGCCAGGTTCTGGCTCGTGGTCCTCGGTAGGCCTATGAACTCCATTCACAATGACTGATGCCAAAGTCTAATAATATACATATCAGCCTGGATAGCTCCGGGGAGCCCAAAAACAAGTATTGAATATAGTAATACCTGACGTTTCGGTCCGTCATGGACCATTCTCAAGTCGACTTGAGAATGGTCCAGGACGGACCGAAACGTTGTCGTCCCTTCAATTTCTAGTGTGTGGTCTGGTCAATATACTTCAGCCACGTTATTGTGACTCATCGCCTGCATAGTAATACCTGTATACCATTTAATGGGGAGCCTCAGTACTTTCCAGTGCAATGGTTTTGGTACCACAAAGCCATCCATAAAATTACCAGGCCTCTGTGATTATGCAGGCCTAACAAACAACATTTCTATAATATGGTGTGCTCAGAGGCAAAGGGAGCATTAGAATCTCAGATGAAACCAAACTCAAGTAAAACTGGCTAGAAAGTACAGGTGAGGCAAAATAAACCATGAATCTTCATTAATCTTTAAATTGCTCCTGTAGTTCTCTAGTGACTGGGGCCCTGTACTCACCCAGTTGTGCTTGTTGGGGTTGAGCTTTGGCTCTTTGGTCCCATCTCTCAACTATTACCTAAGTGTAATTACACAAGTGTAGTTACAGGATGAGAGCTACTGTCAGTCAACTGGTGTGCAGACTCCTGAGCCTACTGGGCTCTATTATATCTACATTTGAAACTGTGTACATAGTCAGCCTCCACCACATCACGGCCTAATGCATTCCATCTGTTAACTACTCTGACACTGAAAAAGTTCTAACGTCCCTGTGGCCTATTTGGGTATTACGTTTCCACTTGTGCCCCCTTGTTCATGTACTATCCATGCAAAAATCACCTATGGGATTTAATGTGCACCAAAATATTTATATTTCTAAAGGTTCTACATAGAAATCATTTGACACTAGAGACCTCTGGCTATCATTTGTCATAGTGGGAAAAAATCCTGACAGCTTTAGTTTAATTTCAGGGCATTATTAACAAATTTGGCAGCAAGTTAGATGCATCCCTATCCATGTACTGATGCCTATACGCTAGGAACCATTAATGCCATGCAAAGTTTTAAAGACATGCAGGTACCTATAAGATATTAATGATGAGGAGGCATCAACAAGGCATCAACAACCCAAGTGCACCTCCCGAAAGCAGTCGTCTCATTCTTCACCAGAAAAGAAGGAAATGGCTACAAGTGAACAAAACGATCACCAGGACCAAAGGAGCAGAAACCCCTGCGCCGGAGGAGAGCAAGAAGCTCCCCAATCCAACCCTCAGAGGCCAAAGCCAAGAAAAACAAAACCTTCTCGAAACAATCTTGAACCGAAGGGGCCCACAACAAATCAAGGAGGAGAGAGAAAGAGAGCACCCAATCCAAAGACCAGGATGGCTCAGGTGGCGCATGAGCAGGCCGGAGGTGAAAAAGCCAGCGTTGAATGTAATGAAACGCCATTTTCTGGGTGAGTCCCGGAGGCTTCTCGGAACCTACAGAGCTCCCCCCTGAAAATGCATGAGAGAGCTAACAGAACAGAGCAGAAGTGACATCCAAGCTGAAACGGCTCCGCCAGTGCCGTAACGATAAGAAGCGATAGTATTCGGCATAAGATGCCGGGCCTGAAAAAGCCAAGAGAGAGAAAGTACAAAACAACATGATCATAAATGGATGACAACCTACGAAGAGAAAGGAAATGAGGAAAAGAACACAGCAGACTTCATACTGTCGCTGAGAAGAATAACGCAGGTGGGACTCTATCAAAGAAGCCACCTGATCACCATACAAATGGTGATACACTCGCGTCAAAAACACCAAATGTAAAGAGCGGAAGAGTAGGGCTAACCAGCAAGGTACCTCACTGGCCTGACCTGCTGAAAGAAGCGGAGCTGTGGAAAAACTCTCGGATTTGGACACTGAGCAAGCAGCGCCTGACACAAATGCTGGGCCACCCATGATGGAGACAGGAGAGTCACACACCCTCAGAAGGATTTAAGCCTTGCCAGAACCGAAAGCAACAGTTGGACCGAGAGAAAGAGGTAAAGGAACCCCCACCTTGACCAATCCAGCCGAAAAACATCTACTGCAAACACTTTGCAGTTGGGAAAGGCTGCCACATATATCAGAAGGCGCCAAGACCAAGCTGATGCAAAGAGGTCTGCGTCCGGCAAATTCAACTGAAGAAGTTGGTGTCGACTGTCCACTCCGTGGACAGAGGAATGAATTGAAACATTTAGATGTGAACCACACAGAGAGCTAAATCCCTGAGAACTTAGCAGAAGAGCCACTCGAAGTGACCAACCCCGAAGTGACCAGCCCCAAAAAGCTGCAGACCGAAGTGATCCTCCCCCCCAACCCACCCCCCAGTTCAGACAACGAAGCATCGGGAGCTGTCCAAATGGAGCTGGATCACAGAGCCCCAAGCGACCCAAATCCGCCACAGTGAAAGTCACACCGCCGGGAACTCCCGCACCGTACCGTGAGCCCGACGGAATGACAGACCCCAACAACCTGACTGACCTGACCTGATGAGCACTGGTCACAAAACTCCAGCAGAGGGACGAGGCACTTGTAAACACATCGAGAGAGGGAACGGGTAGGCGCCAGGGCACCAAATCTCGAAAAACCTAAAGAGTAAGCCGGCGACACAGCAACCAACTCAAGGCTCCCAGAGGACAAATCCATCAATTGCGAGAGCGGCAGAAGGGATAGCTTCAAAGAAACCAGAACAGCCTCAGATTCAGACTCCCCCACAACTGCTCAAGCAACCGATGAGTGAGTTGGGACCCCCCCTCTAAAAACAGCCGAAGGTGGGACCACAGCCGGAGCAATGCTGCAGGAGGGAGGGACACGGAAGCCATCCGAGAATTCCAGACCAGGCCCAGCAAAGTCCAAACCTGGGATGGAACCAAATGGGACTTCTTCCAGTTCACCAAGAACCTGAACCAGGCGAGCTGGGAAAGTACCAAATCCCTGGTGAGCAGACAAGCAGACCGGCTGGGAGCCCAAATAAGCCAGTCATCAAGGTAGGCCAACACCACGAATACCTAACATAAGACGATGGGTCACCATGACCCGGATAAGACGTATATAAACACGATAAGCCAGATTGAGCTCGAATGGAAGGCAACAAAATCTGTACGCCTGACACCCCACCACAAAACTTAACTGATCCCTGAACCCCAGGTGAATAGGGACGTGCCAATACACGTCCTTGAGGTCCAGGGACACCATCCAAGTACCTGGATTGAGAAGATGCCGGACCTGGGACAGAGTGATCCTCCGAAAGGAGGGGCAAGAAATCCAACGGTTCAGATGGGACAAGTCCAGAATCAATGGAAGATTAGCACAGTCCCATTTTGGAACTGGGAACAAGCAAGAAACCCACTTGAGGGACGTGGGCATTTCGACCACTCCTAAGTATACCCACTCCAAGATGACCCGACAGAGCGACGGGGAGGAATCCTGCCCTCACCAGCCCCGAACCCCCTGGAGGAGAAGGAGCCGCCCAATGTCACCGAAGGCCAGATGAGACCACCTGAAACGTATAGGAATTGTGGGACCAAGTGTGGGCAAACAGAGCCAGCCGCCCCCATAACACTTTCAACAAGGTGACACGCGAAAGGGTCGACATGATCCCTGAGAAGCCAACCCTTGAACGACGCAACACTTGAACGCGTTTTGTAATAACTTATTACATTTTCAAAGACTTTAGTTTACACACACAACTGTACCCTGAAAACACTAAACAGAGTTTTACTTATACTAACACTAAACAGCTTATCCGTCTTACATATACTCGCACTTGGGTGAGGTGATATGGTGCAACAGTTTTGGATGAGGTGAACAAATTTGAGACAAATGGAAGACAGAACATGAAACAATGGGTATTAGTTGGATATGAGAGCATAAGAATGGAATTTACTTCCATTCAACAATGGTTATTAGTTGGATATGAGAGCATAAGAATGAAATTTACTTCCATTCTTATGCTCTCATATCCAACTAATACCCATTGTTTTGTGTTCTGTAATCCATTTGTCTCAAATTTGTTCACCTCATCCAAAACTGTTGCACCATATCACCTCACCCAAGTGCAAGTATGTGTAAGACGGATAAGCTGTTTAGTGTTAGTATAAGTAAAACTCTGTTTAGTGTTTTCAGGGTACAGTTGTGTGTGTAAACTAAAGTCTTTGAAAATGTAATAAGTTATTACGAAACGCGCTCAAGTGTCGCGTCAGACTAGAAATAAAAATGAATTTTGGAGATTTGATTTTTCAATTACCATCGACAGTAAAAAGAAACATAAGAAATATTGAGAAAATTTGTGTTAGAATTATTAATCTCACTTTTTCGGTCATATTTAACAACATATGTTTACAAGAAAGACTGCTACCAAAGTATACTAATATATATATATATATATATATATATATATATATATATATATATATATATATATATATATATATATATATATATATATATATATATATATATATATATATATATATATAATACTATTATATATTATATGTACATATAATATATAATAGTATTATTATAGTACAATAATAGACTTATTAATATAGTACATATAATATATAATAGTACTATTATAATACAATAATAGACTTATTAATATAGTACATATAAAATTATACTTACCCACAATGATAGTTATGTAATTATTATGTATACATAAATTCTGGAGAGTTATGTGAAGATACTGTACTAATGCAGATTAAATCTAATTTGGGATTGTTTTTATCACTAGTAAATCTGTAAAATGCATGAAACAAAGAAAATGACAAAAGAAAGACAACAATAAAAAATTCACATTTAGGACAGATATTTTTGGTAGGTTTTGTAGCATTTTCCATTCTCTTCTGATGTAGTCTACTGAGCCTACAATAACCACATGTTTGAGCTCATGGTAGTGGAAATTGGAGGCTCGAAGAGGCATCACAAGGTTCCGAAGGCCAATAAGAGGAGAATCTGGGTCAGCAAAGAGGCACACCACAACGTGGCCATTTAATACTGTCATCGCCGCTTGATTACGATCCTGAAATAAAATAATGAGGTACCCATTTCAATTTTCTATTATTAATATGTATAATATTAGCTATTAATGATAGCTGCTTAATTAATATGGTATTACAGTACAGTATTCTAATATTAATAATAATAATATTAATAATACTAAGGAAAGTCTGTAAGAGGAGTAAGAAAATTCGAACCTATGCTCTGAATACTTCCAAGCAGACGTCTTGGACAATTACACCATGACATAGTAAAAGAATTACAACCTGGGATTCAACCGAATCCTACTGATTTATTTATTGATTTGTCATTGAAGTCGTTACTCTATATATTTAGGGTGGGTTTTCAAAAGAAAGAAAACCCAGCCTAAACATACAGAGTAACAATTTACATATCTTGCCTACACTCAGATCCAGATTTCACCAAACAGAACTGAATAACGATGACATCTCTACCGAGTTCTCCCTGCCCAGAGTCTTAGGCTTGGTCAGAGACCGGGCAACAGGGAACCTTGACCCCTGGAATCACCGCAAGGTAAGGTAAGGTACCCAATGCCCAATATTTGATTGTCCTCCTAACCCCCATTATTACCCCCCCCCCCACCCCATTCCTCTATTTCTTACCTTATGTTTGATTACCCCTATATTCTTTCAACATTTTACCTCACCCCACACAACTATGTCCTCCTCATGTATATTTAAGACAAAATTGCACCATGTGTATTCATTCCTTATCTGAAGATGTACCAGAGCGGAACGAAAACTTGTAGAAAATAAACCCTTCAATAATCAGTAGAGTTCCCTTATCATGAATTCTGGGACTTGATTGCTTCTTAATCTCAAGACTAACAAAATAGTTAAAAGCATAGAAACCTTACACTATAAGATAAACAATACCAGCAATGCAGTCATATTAACCAAATAAGCTTAAAATAATGCCGCCTGCTGCCCAAGTATATATATATATATATATGTAATTACCTAAGTGCAGTTACAGGATGAGAGCTACACTCGTGGTGTCCCATCTCCCCAGCACTCTTTGTCGAATAACACTGAAATTACTGACTGTTTTGGCCTCCACCACCTTCTCACCAAACTTGTTCCAACCGTCTACCACTCTCTTTACAAAAGTGAATTTTCTTATAATTCTTCGGCATCTTTGTTTAGTTAAATTAAATCTATGACCTTCTGTTCTCGAAGTTCCAGGTATCAGAAAGTCTTCCCTCTCAATTTTATCGATTCGTGGTACTATCTTGTACAGAGTGATCATATCGCCTCTTTTTCTTCTATCTTCTAGTTTTGGCATATTTATTGCCTCTAACCTCTCCTCGTAGCTCTTGTCCTTCAGTTCTGGGAGCCACTTAGTGGCATGTCTTTGCACCTTTTCCAGTTTGTTGATGTGCCTCTTAAGATATGGGCACCATAGAACCGCTGCATATTCTAGCTTTGGCCTAACAAAAGTCGTGAACAATTTCTTTAGTATTTCACCATCCATGTATTTAAAAGCAATTCTGAAGTTAGAATGTGTAGCATAGGTTCCTCGCACAATGTTCTTTATGTGGTCCTCCGGTGATAGTTTTCTATCTAGAACCACCCCTAGATCTCTTTCTTTATCAAAGGTCTTTAAAGATTTCCCACATAATTTATAGGTCGTGTGGGATCTATGTTCTCCTAATCCACATTCCATAACATGGCATTTATGCACATTTATAATTCCATTTACCAGTGGTGCTCCATATACTAATTTTGACAAGGTCTTCTTGAAGGGCATTACAATCGTGTGTAATTACCCAAGTGTAGTTACAGTTTGAGAGCTATGCTCGTGGTGTCCCGTCTTCCCAGCACTTATTGTCATATAATGCTTTGAAATTACTGACGGTCTTGGCCTCCACCACCTTCTCACCTAAAAAGTTTCAACCGTCTACCACTCTGTTTGCAAAAGTGAATTTTTTATATTTCTTTGGTGTCTGTGTTTAGTTGGTTTAAATCTATGACCTCTTGTTCTTGAAGTTCTAGGTCTCAGGAAATCTTCCCTATCAATTTTCCTGTTACTATTTTGTACATAGTGATCATATCACCCCTCTTTCTTCTGTCTTCAAGATTTGACATATTTAAGGCTCCTTGTGCCTCTGTGAGGGGGCCAGATTCTGGCTCGTGGTTCCCGGTAGGCTTAGAACTCCACCCACATCGACTGATTCAAAATAGTTAAGGTATTCTATCAGTCATGGATAGCTCCGGGGAGCCGCCGGCACTCATCCAGAAAATGGCGTTTCATTACATTCAACGCTGGTTTTATACATAATTCAAGTAACTTACCAATATACAATCCTCTAATGATCTTGCGGGACACCAGTGAAACATTCCTGTTGAATCATATTTCATTTCTGTTTTCTCAAAGTCGAAATCCTTGGCCTGATCGTCTGCGATGCCTACTGTTAGGCCATTGTTGTTACCTCCATTCCCCCCTCCACTGCTACGACTTGTGGGCCTGTGGGGGGTGAATTGAATGTATGAGTACCTCACATTTCAGTCATAGGTACCAAGTCTATGGCCCAATAATGATGTGAAAAGAATTGAGGTATTTTGCTGTTCCTAATCTTGCAAACCATCCTCATGCAATACAGGCTCTGTATTACTGTATATTAAGTCAATTATGTATTATTTGTACATACAGTACTACAATTGGAAAATTATACTATGGCTGATTTTATACATAAGGTTAAGGTTCCAGGGGTTGGTAAAATTAACTTTCAATACCTTTTACCAAACATATACTGACACTATAATTCTGCATGTAGTCAATGTAAGCTGCAATACATTTTGTTTCAAAATGTATTAAAACTGTCATCAAAATACTCGTATGTATAATATTGCATATACATTTCCTCTGTAGGATATGAGAAAAAGTTGAATCCTTTACAGTACCAGGTGTGAATACATTACATTGATACATTATACATTATTATACAGTATCCTACAGTATCTTCCTATGTTTGATTTAAAACTTTACAACACACATTTTACAACTTGAAAACATTCATGCACTGATTCAGAGACTTTACACATGAGTGTACTAACAATAAAATTATATCACTTAGAACTTAGGTGCATAAAATTTAAGAAATGACTAACCCTTTTAAAGGACAAAATACATGAAAATAATTGTGTAAAACATGGTATTCTCTGATAAAATGTTAAAATCTTGAATAATGGTTTCAATAGAGCTTTATGGTATAGATTTTGAGCTCTTAAATCACATATTTAAATTTGTTAATCCTTTCCTTTTCTTTTCATTATTTATAATTTTCTTCCTCATAAAACACTATAGAAGATGATGCAAAAAATATATATACTATACTGTATGTTAAAGATGAGTTATAAACAGTAATAATATATTATTTATTTTTCTTGTAATCTATGTATGCTATACAGAACAAAGAAGCAATTACAGTGCATAACACAGGAAAAAAACACATGTGATAATGTGATGAAAATGAAGATCTAGTTACTTACAGTTGACCCAGACATATGATCCAGCTTTATGCATGAGTTAGCATGTTCCTGATTTAAATTAGTTTGTGTTGATTGTATAATTATAAAACATAGGTTAAGAAATGCAATGATATACAATATATTTTACCAGTATTCATGTACTCTAGTTAACACAAAATAATCTTGGATAAATTGGGAGAGGATAAAGTTTTACTGGATCATCTGTCCCTTGGGGACCATCATCCACATACATGACAACAGCAATTAAAGCTTGTTCAAATTAGATGAAACAATCATGCTGCACTTGCATATTTTCATGACACTATAATAGATCTATACCTATTTATATATTTGATTATAAAACTGAATGAAATATAAACTCAAAATACCTCTATTATGTGGCATGACTTTTAATTATACTATTTAGTATTTAAATATATACAACTGTAGTTACAGTAAATTCAACAGAACCAGCTTGATCTGCAATAAAATGCCTTCTGATAGATTTGATTTTAGCATTTAAATTATTTTTGGTACCATTTATAGGAGAATGTATAACTAATAGTTCACGCCACAAAATGAGAGATAACTACATAAGAGCACAAATAATAGCACAGTGCAGTGCAGTAATGCAGGTGAAGTGAATAAAATTATGTGCTGGAAAGATCCAAAGGTCATGTGATCTCACTGAATGGGCATCGAGCTCTCTAACAGTGAGAATCTCAACCGACAAATAATGTGCAAATACAAAGTCTGTGAAATAAAATGTGGTAATGATAATAGCACTATGCATGAGTGTGGTCATGCAAGTGGGTGCAGGAAGAGAGGGCCATGAGGTGAGGATGAGTTGAGGCAGATGCCCTGAAGGTGAGGCAGATGCCTTGAAGTCATAGCCACACTGCTCAGGTAAGTTTTAACTGTTCATTTTAAATTGGCAGTGGTTCTACTACATCACTAATCAGAATATAGAGTTAAGTTTTACTGCTCTATTCTTGCTATGCTGTTGGCTACACACATTACTGTGTATGTGTCTGGGGCATCATGTCACGTGCAATAGCACAACACTACAAAACTATGGCACAGTTGCCATTAGCCTTTTCTGGGTGTTGAGGAGTAGAGACTCCCCAGTCTAGCACCCACAAAGCACATGGTTGCCAAGTGACACTATGGTGTCACAGGCTACACCAAAGGAGGAGTGCCACAAACCAAGATCGTGACAGTGGTTGGACACGACTCAAGCTACAACAGGAGGGTGCGCTACATTGAAACGTGAGGGGAGGGTGCGTACATGAGTTTCTTGACCTCGTAGCTGAGGTGATAGCTGTACGTGTTGTCCTCTGTCAGCCTGCAAGTAACAAGAAGACAGCGTGAGCGGTCAGCCCGTGAGGAGCGCGCGTGGGACCCTTGTGTGACTGTCACAGACATAGACAGATAGTGGTTGGTGAGTGTCGGGCAGTGGTACTCCTCAGGACAGGATTATTGAAAATGTGATATAGTTAAGAAGTGCTGCAAGTATATTGTGAGAGTGAAATTACTGAGAGCAGTGAACAGTGGTGAAAGGAAACAAACAACTTAAATAAAAATCAACGTGCAATGAAGACAGAAGTAAAATAAGGTTCAGAAGCTGGTATAACCACCTTTCCTTAAGTAACAAGTAAATATCAGAAGGTGATTTGGTAAAAATAAATTTTGTAATAAAGGGAAAAATATATAATTGTGTATTGTAGAAGACAGATATTTGTGTAAGAATTAAAACTTAGTTGAAGCAAAGTGTGAGATATTGCTTACAATGGAACTAAAACTGTTAAAAATGCAAAAACAGATAAACGTAAGTGTTATAACAAATGGGGTGATGATAATGATGCAAGTGACTGAAGAGTGACACGTCGTGTTCAGGTGTGCATATAAACATTAGAAAGGTCAGTGTAGTCTTTTATAAGATCAAGATAATACATTATGAAAATTAGTAAATACAGCCCTGACAAATAAGAAATTCAAGAGAGAATGAATAACACCAAGAGGTGATACAAGCATATTGGACAACATTCCAGTGCTTTGATTTGCCACTGTCTACTTAAGCATGTGAATGTTGCAGACTGTTAATAATATACAGCAGTGTTCCAATGGAAAACTCAAACTACAATACCCTACATCTACTAGGTACATCACTGAAGACATCTGTTTATGGTATATAGTATATTTATATATCTATAGTGTATATATATTCAACATTTCTCCCTCTCACTATATATTATATTATATATATATGAATACATATATTATATATATATATATATATATATATATATATATATATATATATATATATATATATATATATATATATATATATATATATATATGAATACATATATAAGTTGTTGAATATGACCGAAAGGGGAAGATTAATGAATCTTTTCAATATTTATTATGTTTTTCCTCACTGTCGGCAGAAGTTTAAAAATGTGTTCTCCAAAGTTCCTTTTCTCTCTTATTTTTGGTCTGATGCTTAGGGATGCATTTCCTAAGGTCACTCCTTACATTCTCAAAGACTAATTTACCATGCCATTCCATTCACCTGGGCTGTATGGGTCTCAAACTATGGACTCCACGCGTGTGAGGCCGACACTCTTTTAATTTTATTTTAATTTACCATGCTTTTGCACAGGCTTATATTCTCTTTGGGTGAGATGGTATAGAACAAGTGGATGAGTGGCATAGCATAGAGGATATTGATAGGGTATTGCATGCATCACCCTAAGCAGCTTATGTTCTTACGGCTGCTTGTGTTTCTAAGGCAGGGTCTTTGGATCCTGTCTCTGCATTGGCTTGGGGTCTTTAAGTGGATAGGATGTAATTATGTGTTAACTAATTATTGATTGCTGGTCTTGACTTTATAATGTGTAGCACCTTGCTGGTGTCCAGTCTTCTGTTGTCGTTATAACTCTTGCTTATTTCAGTGTTGCTTGTTAAGATGTCACTGGTGATGGTCTGGTTGTGTGAGGAGATCATATGCTCTTTGATGGAGCCCTGTTGCTTGTGCATTGTTAATCGCCTGGAGAGAGAGACATTGCAGTCTTGCCTATATACTGAGAACTTTGGGGGCAACAGTCCCCAAATGGGCATGTGAAGGCAAAGACGATATTGGTCTCTCTTAAGGCATTGTTTGATGTCTGGAGAGTTCTTCATAAGTAGGTCGGCGGTCTTCTTGTTTTACCAGACCTTTACCAGAAACATCGTAACAAGCAACACTGAAATAATCGACAGGTATTCCAACTGGACATCAGCGAGACACTACATATCAAAAAGTCAAGACTAGCAATCAACAATTGGTCAAGACCCAGAGTCAACACAGAGACAGGATCCAAAGATCCTGCCTTAGAAACACAAGCAGCTGCAAGAACATAAGCTGCTTAGGGTAATGCATGTAATACCCTATCAATATCCCCTATGTTATGCCATTCATCCACTTGTTTCATCTACTTGTTCGGTATCACCTCACCCAAAGAGAATATAAGCCTGTGCAAAAGCATGGTATATTAGTCTTTGAGAATGTAAGGAGTGATCTTGCGAAATGCATCCCTAGGCGTCAGACCAAAAATAAGTGTGAAAAGAAACTTTGGAGAGTTAATTTTGCAACTTCCCCCAACAGTGAAGAAAAACACTAAAAATATTGAAAAGATTCATGTTAGAATCATTAAGCTTACCCTTTCGGTCATATTCAAGAACATATGTTAGCAAGAAAGACTATTACTTATATATATATATATATATATATATATATATATATATATATATATATATATATATATATATATATATATATATATATATATATATATATATATATATATATATATATATATATATATATATATATATATATATATATATATATATATATATATATATATATATATATATATATATATATATATATATATATATATAAAGTAATATATATATACACACACACACACACACACACACACACACACAATAGAACCTCGATTAACGAATTTAATCCGTTCTGGCACTGAGCTCATCATGTGAAACGCTTGTCTTTCGTAACGAATTTCCCCACTTAAAATAATGGAAATAAAATTAATCCGTTCCACCCCCCAAAAACATCAATATGACATTTTATAATGTAAATATAATACTGTACATGTAATTATTATATTTGTTTTGTTTTACTGTTTTCAATTGTACATGTATTTTCCCTTATGAAGAGTCGTTGCTGACTTGAGGGAGACGATGGGGAGGTGGGGAGGAGGAGAGGGGTTATGGTGTGGAAGGAGAATCCACCTCTGAGTCAGGCGGGCTCTCTCTTCTTGGGAATTTCACCCCACTGGGACCGGGTTGTGGTTTACTATCCCTTGCTCGTCTTTTCTCTACCTTTCCAAAGAATGTATCTATTACAATTGCTTTTGTCTTCATTTTAGGATGTTCCTAAAATGAGACAGCAAATTGTCATTAGACATGTTCAAATAAATGTGTTGTCGCTGCTTTATCAGGGTGATGCTCTTCCAAGAATGCGGTCACCTTTTCAAACATTCCCAACACTTCCCTGATCTCACTGGAAGAGGTGGCATTGCTCTGATTCCCTTCTTCAAATCTACAGTAATTGTGTCTTTTTTTTCTCTTGACAACACTATCTTTAGCAAGCAGCTTCTTTGGTGACATCCTGGGTTACAAATTGTAGTCGCAAAACAACAAAAAAACAAAGAAAAGCACAAATATATGTGCGATAAAACAACAACACTGTCGTTGGAGGCATCCGGGAATTTGCGAGAACCAGTGAAAACGCTAGGAAGCACCATGTCGTTTTCTCATTAATCGAGACAAATTTTTGGCGAGTGGCTCGTTCGTTACTCGAAACGCTCATCACTCGAGGTTCCACTGTATGTGTATATGTATATATGTATGTATATATATGTATATATGTATATATGTATGTATGTATATATATATATATATATATATATATATATATATATATATATATATATATATATATATATATATATATATATATATATATATATATATATATATATATATATATATATATAATGTCTCATTGAATATGACAGCATATTCTGTATTTACTATCTTCTGGTTTAGGGCTTCTATCCCTATAACTATTATTCTTGCATCAGGGTTTAGTTCAAAGAGAAGTTCTCCAAAAGTCATGTTCGTTTTTCAAAGAGGAGAAAAAAGTCAATTACTATAGAATGTATTATACTTATTACACAATTGCACAACGTTTCGAACCTACATGGTTCATTCTCAAGTGATAAGAAATTATGGATCTCATTAGATTTATACAAGTATGGGGTCAGGTGAGAAAACAAGTACAATAAAGGAAAAGGCAAGGGGGATAAATAGGGGATAATAGGGGACAAAGCACATACAAAGATTAATCAGGTGTAATAGGCCTATTATGGTGAGCAGTGTCTTTTGTGTTGGCATCGCTATGTTCCGGTCTTGTTGTCATTCTCATGGTGGGTAGAGTAAATAGTTCTGTAATTTGGGTATTCATGGTAGGTTGTTCTATTTTTATGTGGATTGCTTCAAGAATTTGTAATGTTCTTACTTCTTGGATTTTGTTTATTATACAAGTGTTTTTATTCAGCATTTCTCTTGTTAGGGTGATGTCATGGGCTTGTCTCATGTGATTCCTAGGGGCACCGGATTAAAGATGACAGGTCAAACGCCTCGTCAGCTTGGTCGACTTCATACCTATGTACTTAGATTGAAGGTTACATCCTTCATGGGGGCAAGTGTACATGTATACAATGCTTGACCGCTGTAAAGGGTTCTCCGTGGGCTTCGGGCTGTTTTTAATAAGGAGGTTGGTAGTTTTCCTTGATTTATAGAATATGATCAGGTCTATGTTTTGGTTAGAAATAGTGCTTTTTACTCCTTTACGAATTATTTCTTTCATTATTTTTTCTTCTTTTTTATGTTCACTGTGCATAGTTGATTTGTAATATAATTTTATTGGAGGTGTTATGGTTTCTGTTCTAGGTTCAGGATTTTACCATCGGTCCAGGTGTCTTCTTATAGCGGTGTTTATTTCCGTGTTGCTATATCCATTGTTCACCAGTACCTGAGTTATTCTTTCAAACTCTCTACTCACATTACTCCATTTGGAGCAGTGTTTAAGCACTCAACGAATATAAGCATTGAGAACATTGGTTTTGTATCTTTGGGAGCACTCACTCTTACTGTTCAGGCATACGCCTATGTTGGTAGGTTTTGTATATACGCTGGTGCTTAAAAAGGTTCCTGTTTTTGTTATTAGTAAATCTAAGAATGGCAGACTGTTATTTTCACTAT